CAGTGCTGCCTGCCGCCCTGCAGCCTGTCCCCAAACTGCAGCTGGGCTGGCAGCCCAGGCTCCTCCACCAGGAAGCCTTCCTTGCTCAGCAGCATTTGCACAGCGTGCTTGGCACCACCTGGGGCTCTGCAGGCTCAAAGTTGGTGGTGTAAGCCTTGCCAATAAATTATTACACAACGAAAGTGTGTGTGCGTGTGTTGCATAAAGCACATTGGAGGGATGTTAGTTCTTAAAATGTTTAGAGACTCTGGTTTTGGAAATTGCTGCAACCTTGGAAAGCAAGATCTGTAGGCTTCCAAATAGAAATTTAAGATAAAGATAAGAGCTTCATTGGAAAAGAATACCATTTTCATGTGAAGTTTGAACGTATTCAATAACAAATTATTAACACAGAAGATAATCTGCAAATAACTTTTCTTGTAACTTAATACAGAAGAAGATGCATAGACCAGCATTCTGAATTATATACAAATCCTGAAGCCAGTGTTAGTTTCATAAGCATCGTTCAAAAGTTACAGAAATGTTGGAAAAAACAATAAAATGCTACTGTATAAATTTACATTTAAAATTAAGTTCATATTTGCATGAAACTGAATGGCATGAAGAGTTAAATCATATGTAGAAAAACTGTTTCCCTAGAAGCAGCAGCTCTAGATTTATTTATATTTCAATTAATTTATCAGATATCTATGCTAATTTTGTCATAGCATATGAAATAATTTTTATGATCGGTAATATCAGTTGCACCAGCAGAAATATTCTTCTCAAAATGAAAAATTATCAAAAATTTTGTTTGCAGTATTACATTTACCAACAAAATGACATTGCTTTCAATTATGTTGATTGAAATGAGGTCACTAAAAGCATAAATTTTGATAACCTAATTAATTAATTTGGAGAAAAGCAACCTAGAAAAATATTATTATTGCCAAGATATTATACTACCAACGTATTTTTTTTTAGGGTTTGGTATGTTTTTTAGTTTGCTTATGTTTATTGTATTAATATTTTTGATATATTAATATATATTTGATTCTTTTTATACTGTTTATTAATTTTGAGAGAGAGAGAGAGAGAGTGGGAGGGCTAGAAGGAGAGAGAGACAAAGAATCCCAAGCAGACTCCCGGCTCAGTTTTAAGCCTGATGTGGGGCTTGAAATCACAACTGTGAGATATTGACCATGATCATGATGAGCCAAAATCAAGAGTCAGAGGCTTAACTGACTGAGGCACACAGACACCAATATATTTGCCTTCGCAATAAATAGGAATATTTTTGCTTTTTGTGTCCCTTACAACACATGCATGCATTTTATATTACAAAAGACAAAACAACTTTATAGCAATATGAAGCTAACATCTACTGTGTTTTTTAGCATCAATTAAGAGTATATTTCATTGGGGAATAAAACGTATTGGGTTACCATCCCACCGCACAGATCCTCTTCCAAGACTTGAAGATAATGCTACAATTTTTTTATTTAACAGAAAATATTATTTTCATGACAAATGTGATTGGCAATGTTATTTAAATTAAAAAAATATACTGCCAAAGTATTATCATTGATTGTATTATAGAAACTATTTTATAAAAGAAAGTTTCTAACAATTTTTTTGTAATTTGTAAACTTGTTTTTACTTATGTATTATTATAAGTTCTCTTGTGTTTTATAAGTAAGATTTTTAAAATATTAATTGGTATATTGTGAAAGAGAGAGAAGGAAAAAGAGAAAGAGAGAGAGCATGAATGGGGGAGAGCCAGAGGGAGAAAAGAGGGGGGAGAGAGAGAGAGAGAGAGAGAGAGAGAATCCCAAGCAGACTCCATGCCCAGTGTGGAGCCCAAAGAGGGGCTTGATTTTGGGTTCCATCCCTCAACCATAAGGTTAAGACCTAATCCCAAATCAAGATGCTTAACTGACTCAGCCGGCCACCCAGGCACACTTGAGCCACCAAGGCACCCTGATAAGTAAGAAGATTTTTTTTTAAGGGAGCTTTCTTTATATTTTCTTACATAATGTAACACCTTTTACTGTTTTTTTGAACATGGAGCTCCAAATTTTCTGTTTCATTGCATACCACCAATTATATAGCGAGCTCTGCCTGGGGAGTTTGATACCCAAGTTAAACTGGAATGAGAGAGCTAGAAGCCAGAAAGCAATCAGGCTGTATGAGAAAGTATTTGTTGCTTTCCATACATGTGAGTAAGCTCGTCCACCATGGAGCCCACCCCAGCTCACTGTCTGGGGTGAATCTTATACTCAGTGAGTGAAGTTCCATTTTATTCCATTTTTCTATAGATTGGGATCCTCCTTGATCCATCTTTAGTCTCATAGAGGAAAAGAAAACCCCCCAGAGAGGATCTGACCCTGAAGACTGTCTCTGCTTCTCAAGAGGCTCTAGGGTTGGTTGGGAGCAAACTCAGACCCACTCGATCCCATGTGGTTGTGGAACTGGTCTTGGGTTCCATGATTCAGGCACTTTCTCCCCACACTCACACCAGCCCACACTGCTCACAGCCAGTCCTCAAAAGACTTGCTTTGTTACATAGTATGAAAGAAATGTAGAACCGGAAGAGCCCTTAGAAAGGCGTTAGTCCACCTCATTTTACAAAACAGAGGCTGTATCCAAGAGGACAGTGTGGAACAATTAGGTTGTCAATGAGCCAGGAGAGAAAGAAACTGGGTTTCCTCACTTCTTGGCACGCTTGCCCCTGCCTCCTTGCTGCAGGGCCATCCTGCTGGGAAAGAGACGTGTTAATGCAAGCCCAGGCACTGAGGTCTCTGCAGTTGGGGTCTGGGAAAGCCATGGTCCAATCAGTTTGATTGCCTGAATGGAGAGTTGCAATTTATGTTAAATGTCTAACACGTTTGGAAGGAAGGAGGACTCAGGCTGAGCCACTGTGATTCTACCAGCAAACTCACCCACCACTCCCTGGTTTCTGGAGGAGGAAGCTGAAGGTGATGGTGTCATGTGAACATCTACATGCATTTCGAAGGACGTTCCTGAGAAAAGCAGATATATGTGTATCCCAGGTGGACATCTCTTGAAAGCAAGATGTGAATATAGAGCATCACTAATCCATTGTTACGAAATGTAATCACTGCATTGGGAGACAAGGGGGAACATTGTCCGTGAAGCTATTACAAAAAGCCTTTCCAGGTTAACACTTTTTGATGATGAGTCAGGCAATAATCAATGAAATAATCATGGGGCTATGAATTTTGCCCACAGGATGATTATACCTGTGCTACAGCTCATATATAGGACGTTGTGCTAAATAGAGTATAATCATACTATGATGTTCAATTCTAGGTAATATAACTCAAAAGAGAAAATATTAACTTAAAGTATACATCTCCAGGAAGAGAGACACCCACCCAAAAGAAGGATTTGGGAATTCTACCCTATGGAGGGTAGATAAGAAATAGATGAAGAATCTTAGGATGGAGATATTTTACATATGTAAAAATACACATTTAATATTTACAGACAAATTTATATGTTGATTTTGATTCTTCATCAGAGTTGTCCCTAAATTTTTAAAGGTGTGAAATGTGGATGAGGATTTTACTTATTCTGCCTAATTCCAGAGGACCAGTGAGTACAAATCTTAGGAAAAGGGCTTCCACTTACGGGAGGTGAGGTTGTCTTGATTTCCCAGGGATCAGTTCTCATGATCAGTAGTCTATTTGTAGTACTCTCCTGGGCAGCCATGGCAATATGTAGGCTTCTCTAGATTGTCTTTCCTACATTGTAATTGGAGAATATCAAGCTATTAAAGTAGATGAGAAAGGGGTTTTTGGCAGAAAGGGATAATACTGGAAATCTATAAGACTAAGGAAATTTATCAATATCTTCGGGGAAAGAACACAGTAGTGGTGTTTGGGAGAAAAATGACAGAGAATGGAATCTGAACCAGCAGTGGCCAAGGTAACAGAAATGCTGGGAGAGTTGGTTTACACTTTTGAAGAATCTCCACTAATCAACATATAAACCCCACTGAAGATTTGAGTCACTTACTGAATATAGGACCTGGCAACGCTTTGGTATCAGACAATAAAAGCATCTGTAGAATAAATTTACAGTGGCTACATGTTCCGAATCTGAAGCCCAATGTATTGTGAGAATTTCCAGTCTTTCTCCCAATACTTTGCATTATATAATCCATGAGCAATAGAAATAGATTTCTGAAAGGATGTCAGATTTCCCATGACAAATCAACCAAGTGTATGGGTCAAAACATGTTTTCCCCCTGTTACTTTGCCATTGAGATTTTTTATGACAGTCATCTTAGCTAAGGGAGGATTCCGCATTTTGACGTCAGGAACTGCCACTTCTCTGGAAATTGCCAGGTCACAGGCAAGACCAGCTCAGGAGAGCAGAGTCTGGGATAAAAGGCATTTGAAATAATTATTCTCTGGCTTACATGTTCCTTTTAGGAAGAGTATTTCTCCATGATAGACAAATGAGGATGGTAGATTTGGCAGAAAGGGAAGGTTTTCTGTTTTCTTTATTTAAGAGAGTGAATCATGACTCCTTCCTCATTTCAGACATATACACCAGGCCTATCATTGAATAAACAGCAATAGGATCTACCTCTGTAGAACTTAACAGTGACTCAGTAATGTGCAGAGATACCAATCTTAAGTTTTACATTCTTCTTGTGCACTTATTCTCTGATCTAAAATGTAATTTGTTTGACCTATTGCTGCCATTATGTATTTGAGCCCCTCGGAGGCACAGGGTGGAGAAGAACCCTCTGCAGGGAGCTGAGCACAGACGTGACCACCAGAGGGTAGTGCGCCTGAGCTGATGGGGACCAGGCGGAGGCATCTGCATGACTAGGCTCTGGCCCAAGCACAGTCGTCTTCTTATTGGCTGCTGGACACGTGGGAACCCGCTCTGACTGGTGGGGGAAAGAAGGGCTGGCCGGTACTGGAAGTAGCTGTGCGGGCTGGAGGAGGCAGTTCTGAAACTGATGGTCATTGGTAGGAGTCATGATGGCGTCCCTGGGGACTTTCGTCCTGCTCTTGTGGCTGTCGCTGCACTGTGAGTTGAGCGTTTATGGGGAATTAGTGGATATTCTTCAGAAGTCAAGACTGGCTTTACTCAGGTTTCCTCCAGTTAGTGGAGGAAAAGGGAATTCTGCAGCATAATAACCTGGGAACTGTTCTCCTTTCTCTGACCTTCTCTTTGTGCACAGGGCTCAGCCGAGGACAGAAGGTGGAGCAGCATCCTTCCACCCTGAGTGTCCAGGAGGGAAGCAGCTCTGTTATCTCCTGTAGTTACTCAGACAGCGCCTCAGATTACTTCCCTTGGTATAAGCAAGAACTTGGAAAAGGTCCCCAGCTCATTATAGACATTCGTTCAAATGTGGCCAGAAAAGAAGAGCAAAGACTCACTGTTTTATTGAATAAGACGGCCAAGCATCTGTCCCTGCACATCGCAGCCACCCAGCCTGCAGACTCAGCGGTCTACTTCTGTGCAGCAAGTACACATTGCATCCCAGACACCTGCCGCCTGTGCTCAAACCTGCCACGGGGCAGCCCCTGTCCTTTGACACAGACCTTCAAGTAGAGCATTTGTGTCATTGTTTGTCTGCAGGTGGAAGCTAATGTGTTAGACATAAAACCTAACATAAGGCTCTTGGGATCAAGAGCCTTCCTGAAGAGAGTTAGTAAGGTTTTATTTTGAAATTCAGATTTTAATGCTGATTTACATTTACTATTTAGATTTTTGTCATACAAACAACTCTTTGTTAAATTATCACATTTCTATGTTGGATTAACTTTCAACTCTTGTCTTTCCAATACTGCAGATGTTATTTTTGGTCTGTTATAAAACACTATGTGCTAAATATAGAAGATATGTAAAAATCAAAGGGTGAAATTGTTAATTGTGTACCCAGCTAATTTATTATCAATGTTTGGTTTATTCTCTGTTTACATTCTAATGTAACTTGGATTCTGATTCTTTCCACTCATTGTTATATCCTGAATTGAGCATTTTCCTCTAACACCTGATTTTTAATAGCTCCATGAGAGATTTTCAACAGTCACAGTTATATTTTTAATTTTCTTCCTGGTCTGTCTTTCTGGCAGTATATAACAACCCTTTCTATGTGTTCTGATTACTTTCTTCTTGAGAAAATGTGACTCACACTGACTACAGAAGTTTTTATATATTCACATGCTCTAGAGATATCCACTAGTTCAGCCACTTGAATTAATGTTGTTTTTGTTAAGCGACTGGATTTTATAATGGAGTTTGGAGTGGTAATTGCATTCCCAGTCTGGCATTTTTTCTTCAGAGTTTAAGATAAGATTATTAAAAATCTATTAATTCAGAAACTGGTCTGAGAATGTCCAAAAGATTAATCCTGGACACGGACACCTCTTGAACCATGGAAGCACAATCATGAGATTCCTTTGGTTGAGAAATGTGTACAAGCTGAGTAATAGGAGGAGAAATTAATACTGTTTCACATTTATCAGCCAGCTGGTTGAAAAATGTTAGGTGTTTCCAGAGAGTTATAGTCTATCACTTAGAGAGCAGGGCAGTTGTACTGTATGCGGTTCCATCGTATTTCAAGGACTGCAGTACAAATTCTGAAGATGTAGCTGAGGATACAATGACTTTGAGACAAAGATGTTAAGCCTTGGCTACTCTATCAGGAAACTAACAATAATAGGCAATAGATATTTGCTTATCCCTAGGGCACAACCTTCTTTTTTTTTTTTTTTTTTTTTTTTAATTTTAAGGAGAGAGAGAAAGTGCGGGTGGGAGGATCCGAGGGAGGGACAGAGACAGAGACAGAGACAAAGAGACAGAATCTCAAGGAGACTCCATCAGGAGTCCAGAGTGGGGCTCAGATCTACCACACTGGGATCTTGACATAAGCTGAAATCACGTTCTCATGCTCAACAGACAGAAACAGCCAGGTGCCCCAAAACTTCCTTTAAATGTACACACCAAGAGAACGCATAATTACAATAAAATATCGTATAATCAACAGTCCTCTGGAGGTGTATGGAGCCACCTAGGTTTATTCTCCTCAGAACTGAGTATAGTAAGTACAAAGCTTACTGTGGTTCAACTGAGGTAATTAAAAAATATATAAATTCAAAAGTAGGATAACCTAATGACCAAACTCTGATGTCTATTTTGGGCTTTCTGAATGGAGCTGAGCTGTCAAAACTAAACAGTGAAGAGAAGAGACCTCAGTGATAGAAACTATTATTTAAGGGTTTCATTCTAAACTCTCCAGCAAAGAGACTAGATTTTTGTGCTTTTGGCCCCAACATAGAGACATGAACAGATACTGATAGAGAAGGGAAATTATGACATAACAGTAGGTAGACTGAAAGAGCTACAGTGGTTAGTCTAAACACTTTGCCTTCTTATCATAACATGATTTATTTCTACGTTAGGTGACACTACAAGGGTGTGAACTTACATGATTCTTTTTTTTTCTTTTTTAATTTATTTATTTTTGAGAGACAGAGCATGGGGAGCAGGGGAGGGGCAGAGAGAGGGAGACACAGAATTTGAAGTAGGCTCCAGGCTCTGACCTGTCATCACAGAGCCCGATGCGGGGCTCGAACTCATGAACCATGAGATCATGCCCTGAGCCGAAGTCGGACGCTTAACTGACTGAGCCACCCAGGTGCCCCGTGAGCTTACATGATTCTTAATCTTATGTTGTTTTCATAACCCATTACATGTAGTATTTTTAAGTGCCATCTCCCCACTTTCATCACAGATGCAATGAATGAACGTATCATAGTTAAGCCATCAATCCTAATTTCAGTGTTAAATTTTGCAAATTCATTTCCAGATGGAATTGTTTCCAAGTTAAGAGTTGCTTAACGTGAAAGGATGTTTGGGCGGTGAGAGTCTCCACTGGGACAGAGCAACTGTGACATGACCTATACAACATGCTACACCAGGAATGCCCTGTTTCCTGTTCTGGAGCCACAGCAGCACATACCCAACCACCCTTTCCTCACCCCGGCAGGCTCCCCTCACAGTGCTGAGTCCTGAAATTGAGGTAGACAGTTTCCATGTAGTGGAAGATCTTAAATATATTGCTGTCCAGCCTTCTGAGGCTGGTCATGGCTTCAAGGTCATGTGTGTTGGTAGGGATGGTCCCTGTGGAAATGTCCCTCTTCAGTGACCTAAAAACAGGGGAGATAGATAGCGTCTTGTGCGTACCTTGGTGGGAGGGATAGTACCCCAATAAGCATTTTTAAGTTAAAAATATATTTTAATTGTGATTAAATGCACCTAACATTCCATTTACCATGTTAGTAGTTTTTAAGGGTACAGTTCAGTGATATTAAATGTGTTCACATTTTTATACAGCTGTCACCATCATACATCTCCAGGACACTTCATCTTGCAACTGATGTTGTAAGTCCCCATTTCTCCTTTCCCCTCAGCCCCTGGAAACATCCTACTTTTGTCGTTATGATTTGGACTACTCCACATGCCTCATATATGTGGAATCATACAGTATTTGACTTTTTGTGACTGGCTGATTTCATTTAGCATAATGGCCTCAGGGTTCATCTATGTCATACCATTTTGTCAGAATTTTTTTCTTTTGAAGGATGAATAATATTCCATTGTATCTAATACATTTTGTTTACCCATTCATCAGCTGATGGACACTTGTATTGCTTCCACCTGCTGGCTATTGTGAATAATGCTGCTATAAATGTGGCCATCCAAATATCTCAGTAATTCCAGTGTATTCCCAAATGCTTTCAATTTTGGTTGGTCTGTGCCACAAATGGAATTGGTGGATCATACAGCAGTTTGATCTGTATTTTTTTGAGGAACTGCCATAATGTTTTACCCAGAAGCTGCATCTTACATTCTCACTAACACTATATAAGGATTCCAATTTTCCACATCTTTGTCATCACTTGTTATTTTTCCTTTTTTAACTGCAGCCATCCTAATGGGTATGAGGTGGTATCTCATTGTGGTTTTGATTGGCATTCTCCTAGTGAATAGTGAGGTTTAGCATCATTTGATGTGCTAATTAGCCATTTGGTATGTCTTAGGAGGAATAGCTATTTAAGTCCTTTACCTTTGTTTAAATTAGATAGTTTGGTTTTTTTTCTTGTTGAGATGTAAGTGCTCCTTTCATATTTTGGATGTTAACCCATATCAGATATGTGATTTGCAAATGTTTTCTTTAATTTCATAGGTTGCCTTTTCATTCAGTTGATAGTACCCTTTGACACACAGAAGTGTTAAATTTTGCTGTAGTCCAATCGCATATTCTGCTTTGGTGTAAAATCATGAGATTATTGAAAAATCCTATGCCATAAAGATCTTCTTACGTGCTTTCTTCTAAGAGATTTTGGGTTTTAGTTTCACATTTAGGTCTTTTATTCATTTGGCATTGATTTTTGTGTATGGTGTAAGGTAAGGGTTCCACTTCATCTTTGTGATGTGGATCCTCAATTTTCCCATCACCGCTTGTTGAAAACGTCCTTTCACAATGAAATCGTCTTGGAACCCTTTCTGAAAGTCATCTAACCATGTATGCAAGTATTTATTTCTGTGCTCTCTCTTCTATTTAATGGCCTATATGTCTGTCATATAGAGGCAGAGAGAGAGGGAGACACAGAATCTGAAGCAGGCTTCTCGCTCTGAGCTGTCAACACAGAGCCCGACGAGGGACTTGAACCCAAGAAACATGAGATCATGACCTGAGCTGAAGTCAGATGTTTAAATGACTGAGTCACCCAGGTGTCCCTAAAATGGAAATGTTTTCTTAATTTCCTTTTGGATGATTTATTGTTACTGGATGGAACTGCAATGGAGTTTTGTGTGTTGCTTTTGTATCCTGCAATTGTGCTGAATTCATTTATTTGTTCTAAGGGGAATGTCCTTCAGAGCGGAATTTCAGATGCTGAGGCAGTTGAGTTGGGAACAAGGGATTTGTTCCATGCACTTATGTAGGGCCCAAATCTTCAAGCATGCATAGGAGTATCAACTTCATAATAGAATCACTTTATACCTTTAATACATCAGTGCCTTACAAAATGTAGTTTAAAAGTTGAGATGTGAAAGTCTTTGGAGAATAAGTATTCAAATGTATGATGATGGTGTGCTGAATAAGATACAGAATTTGTAATTGCATAATGAGTTTCTAAAGCACTGTTTAGCTAGTAATTGAGAATACTCAGCTAGAAGAAAACAAGGTCTGTTCTATTTGTTTATATTTTTATTTAAGGATAGTTGACACATGTTATATTAGTTCCAGGTGTCAACATAGAGATTTGACAAGTCTAAACATTTTGCTGTGTTCACCGCAAGTGTAGCCACCATCTGTCACCACACACAACACTATTACAATATCATTGACTCTGTTCCTTATGCTGTGCCTTTTATTACTGTGCCTTATTCATTCCATAAATGGAAGCCTGTATCTTCCACTCACATTCCCACATTTTGCCCATTCCCCACCCTCTCCCCTCTAGCAACCATCACTTTGTTGTTTGCATTTGTGGGTCTCCAGCAGCTTTATTTGAACAGCCCCCAAATGGGACTAACCAAAATGTACATCAGCAGCTGAATAAATAAACAAATTCTTTTATATCTCTGTAATAGACTACTACTTAGCAACAAAATGAACTTATGATACGGCCATGGAAGAATTTCAAAATAACCATGCTGAAAAGAAGATAGACAAAAGAGTACATGTGATTCCATTTATACCAAATTATAAATTATGTGAACTATTCATGACAGAAGTGTTGCCTGAAATGGGGGTGGGAGAGGGTTGAGAGAAGGACTACAAAAAGACACGAGGAAGCTTTTGGGAGTGATGCGTATGTTCATTACTTTGACTGTGGTGATGGCCTCACAGGTATATATATATATTTATATGTTAAATCTTATAATATTATTCACTTTAAATTGGTGCAGTCTATTTTTATGTCAATACAAACCAATAAAACCATTAAAAATCCAAATTTGAGAGATCCCCATTCTCGATGTTGTACATGTCTTCTGGTGTCACTCAAAATGCAAATACTTTTCCTCTAGGTTCTCATCGGCTTAAACTGTTGTTGTTTTTTTTAAATAGTGTAGATACTGACTTTCTGCATCCATGTGCTATACTGTTTATTTTCAAACCAGCGTCATCCCAGCCTGTCCGGCATTCTCCCTGCATGTCTGACGAGAAGTTGATAGCTGCTTGTCCTGAATTCCTTCCAGCATAGTTTTGAAGCAGATTCTGACAATGTGATTTGGAAGGCAAAGGAGAAGGGAAGGGACATGTGAACCCAAACAATAGCCACGCTTGAATTTCTTACTTCCCTCTGCATCTGGGGAACCGCTACCATGTTATCTCTGGATTCATGAAGCTCCTTGAAGTGAATCCATGGAGAGTGGCTTCCAGGGAACAGCATGAGCTAAGCTTCCGTCTCTGTGTCTAGAGATACATGTTTTCAGGGCTTTAGAGAAGATGTGTGCCTGTCCAGAACTTTATCCGATAATCCTGATTCCTTACCTTGTGGGGAAAAATGATTTGACTCAAAGTTGGCAAGAAAATGTAACAAATGAATGGTAATAGAAAGCATCTTTGAAGCTAAAACTTGTTAATAGTGTAGGTTTAGTATTTGTTCCCTAATTCCATATAACAGTCACCTTATATTGGCATCAACAAAACAGTAAGAGAATAAGAATCTCAGATCATTCTATAGGAATTCATCAACATCACTTATGATGTTTAAAATCCATATGTTCACTTTTTAATGATTTTGAAAATCATGAATATTTGACTATTAAAATATTTGTTTATAAAATAAAGTGATTTTTCTTCTGAAAGCTTTTATTAAGAAGATAGTAATCCTTACAGCTGACATTATCTTCGGACAAAGAAATACTGTATGTCAGATAAAGGCCACATGTTCTTTATTTCTGTTTAAGAAATACTTAGTAAGTATTGGGGCACCTGGGTGGCTCAATTAGTTAAGATCTGACTTTGGTTCAAGTCAAGATCTCACAGTTGGGGGGTTCAAACCCCATGTTGGGCTCTGTGCTGACAGCTCAGAGCCCAGCCTGCTTCGGATTCTGTGTACCCCTCTCTCTCTCTGCTCCTCCCTTGCTCATGCTCTGTTTCTCTCTCTCTCTCTCTCAAAAATAAATAAACATTAAAAAAGAAATATTTAGTGAATATTAATAAAGGACAGCCACTGTTCTAACATTGGGGTATAGTGCTGAAAAACACAGAACCAGTCAGTAATGATTTGACTTCTTATTACTTTCTCTATATTCAAACCCAGCCCTTTTCAGTGCATTATAGACTGGCTTCCAATGGATACGTGAAAACATAAAGTACTGCATTAAATGCTTTAGAGACTGTTATCCTCTCAGCTACAGAAATGCCCTGGGATGCTCTGTTAAAGAACTTCCTCATCAGGTCGTGACCTAGGAACAAAGTAGATCTGAGCGGTCAGCACTGCTGTTGTTCAGATTTGCAGGTGCCACCTGAAGACTGACATGTGCCTCATAAAGTCAGGGCCCAAGACATCTTGCTGACCCTGGGAGGCCTCTGGCCACCATGCAACCCATTTCAGTCCCCGTCCAGCAGGGGGCGCAGCTTCCTACACAAACACCTTTCCTGTGAGAAACGTGGGCTTACACTGCTCATTGCTCTGTCTCTCCAGTGCTTCTTCCTGCTAAGAATGCAGCACATTCTTTAGGTGACACTCTAGAGATGAATGCTTCTCCAGGCTTCGTGACTGTGGTACTCTTGCTGCTTGGTAAGTAAAATGCCTCTTAAAATTTGTATTGTGTCATTTATTGTGACAGTAAAACCTGTAACTATAATTTTATCCAGGAGGTTTATGCCCAAGGTGACACAGGTCTGTTTTCTTTTTTCCCAGGACAAACCCATGGAGACTCAGTGACCCAGACGGAAGGCCCAGTGACCCTCTCTGAAGAGGAGTCCTTGATTATTAATTGTACTTATTCAACAACAGGGTCCCTGTTTTCTGGTACTCTTTTCTGGTATGTCCAGTATCCTGGAGAAGGTCCACAGCTTCTCCTGAAAGGTGTGAGGGACAAGGAAAAGACAAGTCACAAAGGTTTTGAAGCCACCCTACAAAAAAATTCCAAAACTTTCCACTTGGAGAAGTCCTCAGTGCAAGCGTCAGATTCAGCCGTGTACTACTGTGTCATGAATGACACAGTGACAGGGACTGCAGGGGGAGCTGAGCACAAACTCTGAGCAGAACAAGGGCCCGGATGCCGAGTGTCTCTGACTGATCCACTCTGGTTCCAGCACAGTGTATGGTTGTCTGTCCCTCACGGTCTGATACAAAAGTCATACAAATAGCTGGAGCCTAGGAACCAGAGGGACATTCCCTGGCCCAGCTGCTGTTTAGTGCAACTGGAAATGCCAGTAGTTCCTCAGCCAGGACCCAAGTAATTTCAAGGTGAAACCACAGAACATTGATGTGGTGACTTGCTCAACCTGCAGTGAGAGTCCAGCCCCACAGGTTGTTCAGGCCACCCTGGGGGGCATTGCTGTGTCTCATCACAGGTTTAGAGAGCCAGGCTGTGCCCGAGAAGGTGACATCTGCCCCATGTCTTCCTGACAGAGAATGCACAGGAGAGGTGATGGGAGAGCTATAGCCCAAGCCAGGTTTGGATACAGAAAGAAGGGGAAGGAAAAGAGGAGGGGAACTCGTGTAAGTGAGTAATGAAAAGAGAGACAAAGGACTTCTGTCCTGTTTTGTTTTGTTTTTTTTTCTAGTAAATTGGACAGTAGACATAGGCTGATATTCGAAATGAAGGGAAGGGGCAGAAACATAACTGGGGAAGTGACTCGTGTCCATGCCGGTTAGGTAGATCAGTTGGCACCGAAACAGTAAGAACCCGAGTGAGATGATTTTCAGTGGCCAGGAAGCACGGTTAGTTAAAACGCTCTTGGACTGGATTTTTATAACGATATATATAGATAGGTGACATTGGCAGGGAAATCCTATAGATTTCTCTGACTCCTCTCACAGAGGGAGACAAAGAATGGGCTTGGGAGAAGGTATGGGAAGAAGAGAAGTAGTGAAAAGAACAATAGAAAAAGCAGTCTCTGTATGGTCCTGCAAATATACTGCCAATATTTGCAAATATTGTTACAATCTTCTTTAATTGTTCTGTTCCTAACAGCCAATTTCAGGAATGAGCTATGATCAGTATATTAATACGTTTTGTTGTATGTTAGTTACATATTCATTATTTAAGTTAATTTTTTATTTAATTGGTTTAAAATGTAAATTTTACAGTAACTCCTTGGTTGCAAGCATAATTCGTTCTGGAAACATGCCTGTAATCCAAAGCACTTGTATATCAAATTGAATTTCCCCGTAAGAAATCATGGAAACTCAGATGATTCATTCCACACCCAAAACTATTCATTTAAAAATGACTCCAGTGTTGTAATAGAATACAAAATAATAAAGAAAATAGTAATATAAAGAAAAATAGACAAATTAACTTGCGCTCACTCTCAGAAATCTTCGTGGCTGGTGTGATAGAGATGAGAGAGGAAGGTTAGTGTGTAGGACGATTTACACTATCACTAACGGAATCACCGCAATCTATGGGCTAATTGGATCTTTTTCTTTTCTTGCACCTCTAACAAGGAACCTATCCACTGACACTTGCTTTTGACTCCTTTTGAGGATTTCATTGAAATGTGACATTGCATTGTTGTTAAACAGATTCATAGTTTGCCCTGCTGCAGCCTTGTTCGGGTGGTGTTTTCTACAAAATTTTGCACTGTTTCCCACATTTTACACATCTCCTTAATCTCATTTGAAATGAGGGATTCCTCTGCCTTTTTCTCCTCCTCTCTGCAGACAAGATACAGACATAGACTTCTTATAAAATCTTGCAATTTCGGTCACCTGTGTACCTCATTTGTATTTCTTGGTGATTTCCTTCTTAACTTTCTCTATAATCATCTTTTTCTTACTGCCTTTCTTTTCAACCGTTTTCTGCATGGGGGCCATTGTATAGTGTCGTAGACTCTGGGTCTGGAGTTGTCTCTTGTCCAGCAAGAGAGCAGACACAGGACTGAAATGCAAGAAGGGCTAATGTCAGGAAGGAGACAAGAGCCCGGAGTAAGGGTTCTTACTCCATTTTTATTAGGATCAGAAGGCTTACAAGCAGGACAGGACGACAGAATGTGCACAAAGAGACAATGAAACCATGAACATTAACTCATGAGTGTGAGGGAAAGGGGGTTTTGAAGATAGGCGGTGTGGGGTGTTTGAGTCAATACAAAACAAAATCCTGGTGCCTGGCGGATGCTTCTTTACAGCAGACAAGAGGCCACCTCTTTTACTTAAACTGGCCTAGGGAACAACAAACACAGAGCATGCTACCTCAGGATCAACAATGCACCTTTATTTTGCTAATTAGCTCCACTTAGCGCAATTTTGCCCTGTTGCTGACCATAGTCCCCTTTACTTATTTACCTATTTTGGTCTTTCCCTCCTGTGAAAGCAGCTTTCGGTTATTCTACTAAGATGGGGGGAGGGGCGTTTCTACCCTGAATACCTAACCTTGCTTACGTATTTTTGTATGCTTTCATCCTGAGATTTCCTATTCCTATACCTTTTTCCTATACTGGGGGCGTTTACCCTGGTTACCTAATCTTGTTTACCTAATCTTGGATGAATTCATCCTGTGGCCTTCTATTTGTTTATGTCTTGTTAACCCATTGGTTCAAGTTCAGGGAATTCCTAATCTTATTCCCCACAGTATACAATCACATAGATGGTGACTACAGTACAGTAGTAATAAACTCTTGTCATATACTGTATTTAATATACTGGGCAACAAGGCAGCGAGGAAAGGGTCTATATCTGCAAGCAACCTGCTTTGAATGAAGCACAGCATTCCTGAATTTACTCTTGTGGAGAAAAACAAAGGACTGTTCATAGGTGCTTTGAAGTGACAAAAAATACACTACTACCAGTCATGGGCCCTCTTCAACGTTCTGAAAAACCACTGATTTCTGCCAAACACCATGGCCTGAGACTGAGCATCTGAGCATGAGAGTCGATCCCCACAATCCCATAGTGAGAGAGAAAGAGAGAGAGAAGAACCATTGGCTCAGTTTTGATCATGTGATGTTTGGCATTAGGTACTACTTGCATTGCAAGACAGTGCTCATTTATCAAGTTAAAATTTATTCATACTGCTCATCTTCAGAACACTCACAGAACAAGGCACTCACGATCCAAGGTTTTATTATATTTTCAACTCCTATAAATAGCACTGTATGTTAAAATATACTTTAAATAATTCAAAAGGATATACACTATTTTTCTCAGACAGTTGGATAAACATGGTGGACTAACGGTGTGTGGTTGGCTCAGTTGGTAGATCATGTGACTCGATCTTGGGGTTATAAGTTCAAGCCCCATGTTGCATGTAGGTATTACCTAAAAATAAAAGAAATATTTATTTATTTATATTTATATATTTGTTTATTTAAAATTAATTGTTAATGTTTATTCATTTTTGAGAGAGGGAGAGACAGAGCATGAGAGGGGGAGAGGGTTAAGTTGTATATAGATAAGCTAGGAGCCATTCTGTTTGGCTCTCAAGAGGATGAATGTTTCTGAACTGGTTTGTTTGTGGAAACTACCAAGGGGGCTCTATATGTATCAGTCTTTGCATCTGGGTTTATGTTTTAATTACGCTTATCTATCCTCATCCCAGCTGCCAGTGTAAGGGAGGATGTTTGTGGAATGCAGGCCTTGAGGAAGGGACTGCCATGCTTCACCAATTAGCAAAGATATATGTAGTAGCTGTGTTCTGCTCTTAACCCCAAAATAGGCTCTTTGTCTTGGGGCCAGGCTCAACTGTAACTCTTGTGTTCTTAACCCCCTTTATTATCTAAGCCTTGGGTCTGCAAGGCCCATAGGAAGAGCCTTTTGACAATCATCCATAGAGCTTTCATCTAAAATCTCTCTTGCAAAGGCAGGAATATGCTTTTCCTTATGAGGTATCTGTGTTCAGAATATTGGTCTGATATGGAGTATTGTGAGGCCTGGTCAATACCAGCACAACATGAGCCAGTAGTAGCAGGAGATACCAGTTTTCATTTCTCATGGCTGGAGCTGTGCAAACGCTGCCATTTCCTTGCTGTGACTGCCATNGTGAGGCCTGGTCAATACCAGCACAACATGAGCCAGTAGTAGCAGGAGATACCAGTTTTCATTTCTCATGGCTGGAGCTGTGCAAACGCTGCCATTTCCTTGCTGTGACTGCCATTCAGAGAGGCCGGTGCGGCTCCCGGCATGTGCACAATACACCTCTACCAATTACCACTTTGATGAAATTTAGTGGACTTACCTGGGCGATGTCTATATTTTTCACACCAGCCTTGGTGTCCTTAGTGTGTTTTGGCTGTTGGCCATTCTAATAGACGAGGCCTGCAGTGTCTTACTTTTTATTTTATTTTATTTTTTATTTTTATTTATTTATTTTTTACAAATAGTTTATTGTCAAGTTCGTTTCCATATAACACCCAGTGCTCATCCCCACAAGTGCCTTCTTCCATGCCCGTCTCCCCCCTCCCCCACACACCCATGAGTCCTCAGTTTGCTCTCAGCATTCAAGAGTCTCTCATTGTTTGCCTCTCTCCCTTTCCCCCACCATTTTCCCCTTCTTCTCCCCCATGGTCCTCTGTTAAGTTCCTCCTAATCGTCCTATACTTGCAAACATATGATATTTGTCCTTCTCTGCCTGACTTATTTTGCTAAGCATAACACCCTCAAGGTCCATCCATGTTGCTACACATGGCCAGATTTCATTGTTTCTCATTGCCATGTAGTATTCCATCGTATAGATAAACCACATCTTCTTGATCCATTTGTCTGTTGATGGAGTGTCTTACTTTTTAAAAGTTTAATTTGTATAGTGCACCGAACACTTGACATGAGATATAGCCTCTTACAATTTTAAGTGTACAAAACATGATCGTTGGTTTTGGGTACAATGTTTTACAGCAAATCTTTATTCTTTCATTTTGCTCATTGACTAGTTACTCTCTGCTACTCACTTCTCCAGAGCCCATGGCAACATCTTCTTTGTTCTCTTTGATTCTATGAATCTGACTATGTTAGATACCACACTTAAGTGGAATCATACATTATTTGTCTTACTGCAACTGGCTTATCTCAGTTAGCTTAATGTCTTCAAGATTCATCTATGATGGGGCACCTGGGTGACTCAATTGGTTAAGGGTCTGACTCTTGATTTCAGCTCAGGTCATGATCTCATGGTCATGAGACTGTGAGATCGAGCCCTGAGTTTGGCTCCATGCTGGGCATGGAGTCTGCTTATAATTCTCTCTCTTCTCCCTCTGCCTCTCCCCTGCTAGTGCAATCGCACAGTCTCTGCCTCCCCCCCCCAAAAAGTCATCCGTGTGGTTACATATTGTAAAATTCTCCCCCTTTTTAAGGCTGAAGAGTACTCCATTTTATGTATTTGCCACATTTTCTGTATCCATTCATCTGTTGTTGGACATTCAAGTTGTTTCCACATCTTGGTTACTGTGAACAGAGCTGCAGTGAACAAGGAGGGCCTAATTTCCCTTTAAGATCCCTGATTTCAATTCTTTTTGATAAATATTCACAAGTGGGACTACCGGATCATATGGTAGTTCTATTTTTAACTTTTTGAAGAACTCTATCCTGTTTTCTGTGCTCACACCATTTTGCATTCCCACCAACATGTGCAAGTGCTCCAATCTCTTCTCATCCTCGACAACACCTGTATTTTGTGTTTTGGATAATAGCCATCAATTTTTTTTAACCTATAAAGCATGGATGATATCAGGGAATTTATTGTAAATTTAGTGGCAGACACATTGAAATAGTGATCATTAAAAAGGAACGTGAAAATTACACATGTTTAAGGTATGCGCTTTTTTTCCCTGCCACCTTTAAGTTGTGGCTAGTACCAATATTTTAAATACCGAAATGCTTAATAGGATGGTCCTGTTCACATAATTTCATGACTGTGTCAGGTGATATTTCACTGGGGTTTGGTTTGCATTTCCTGATGATTAGTAACATTGAATATGTTTTCACATAGTTGTTGGACATTTGAATGTCTTCTTTAAAGAAATATGTGTTCTAGTCTTTAGTCCATTTTGTATTGGCTTGTTAGTTTAAAAAAAAACTATTATTGTAGGAATTCCTTATACTGGTTAGGTATTAACTTTTTTTCATAAATGTGTTTGCAAATATTTTCTCCTACTCCTTGACTTTTGGTCAATGACTTTTGGTGCTTTTGGTTGTTGCCTTTGCTGTGCAGTTTTTTCAGTTTGTTGTAGTCCCCCTTGTTTATTTTGCTGTCGTTCTTTGTGCCTTTGGTGTCACATCACTGATCGTTGCCAAAATCAGTATCATGAAACTTTTCTTCTGTTTTCTTTTCAGAAAAAGAACTCTTAGTTTGTGACTTTTTCTATTGATTTGCTATTTTCTGCTGTAATCTTTGTTATTTCCTTCTGCAAACATTGGGCTTATGTTACTCTTTTTTAGTTCCTTGTAAATTTGGTTATTTATTGGGGATCTTTTGTAAAGAAATTAGACCCCCATACAAACTTCCTGTGGGCATATTGAAGACAAAGGAACAATATTATTTAGGAAATAATGCACTAAAGTATACATATGAAAGATAGATTTTAAAATGTTTAAGATATTTTAGATTTGTTGATATGAGTCCAAGATTGTTTTTTCTGATACATTTCATTAAATAGGATACTAAAATTGACACTTCTAGAAAATAAATGTGAAGTTCATGAACAAGACAGTTAAAGCCTTCTTTGATTCAAATTTGCTCTTACTTTCTTCTTAAATTAATTTTATTTATACTCAACTTACTTAACACAGTACACTCTTGGCTTCAGGTGTAGAACCCAGTGATTCACCTCTTACATATAACCCAGTACTCATCCTGAAAAAAAGCTGTGGCCGAGGTCAAAGAGGTTGCTGCCTCCATTCTCCTCTAGGATTTTGATGGTTTCCTGTCTCACATTTAGGTCTTTTATCCATTTGGAATTTATTTTTGTGTGTGGTGTAAGAAAGTGGCCCAGTTTCATTATTCTGCATGTTGCCTTCCGGTTTTCCCAAAACCATTTCTTGAAGAGACTGTTTTTTTTTTTTTTTCAGTTGGATATTCTTTACTGCTTTGTGGAAGATGAGTTGACCATATAGTTGTGGGTCCATTTCTGGATATTCTATTGTGTTTCATTGACTTATGTGTCTGTTTTTGTGCTTGTACCATGCTATCTTGATGATGAGAGCTTTGTAATATAGCCTTAAATCTGGAATTGTGGTGCCTCCAGATTTGTTTTTGTTTTCCAGGATTGCTTTGGCTATTCAGAGTCTTTTGTGGTTCCATACAAATTTCAGGATTGTTTGATGTAGCTCTGCAAAAAATGCTGGTGGTATTTTGATAGGGATTGAATTAATCTTAAACATTTTAACGTTTTTTTTTAAATGTTTTATTTATTTATTTCTAGGAGAGAGAGAGACAGCATGAACAGGGGAGGGTCAGAGAGAGAGGGAGTGACAGACTCTGAAACAGGCTCCAGGCTCTGAGCTGGCAGTCAGCACAGAGCCCGACGCGGGGCTCGAACCCACGAACCGCGAGATCATGACCTGAGCGAAAGTCGGACGCTTAACCGACTAAGCCACCCGGGCGCCCCAATCTTAAACATTTTAAATGTTGTGTTGTAACTTGAATTCCGAGTCTAATATATTTCTTAAGAACTGATTTCTCAGTGAAATTATTCATTAGTCTACTTTTATAGGACACCTTATTTCTAAAGGAGTCTGGGAAGAATACACCATCATAGGTTTGGGAAGGAAGAAATAAATTCTGTGGAAGTTTTCATACCTCAGAAAACAAAAGGAACATATGAATTAGTTCTTGGAGGGGCCTCCAGGGGTCGATGCTGCACAAACTAGGGATCTTGTTGCTCAACATCATCTGCTCAGCCCCTCCCCCTTGCAGCTGGCTCAGCTCTTTGCAGGCAGAGACAGCGACAAGAATCATTTGTCAGAAAGCTCCAGGCTCATCTCAGGAGCTTTTACATTTTTATCTCAGCAAGGAGCCTGTCCAACTTTACTTTCTCCATCCCTCTTATATCCGAGGGCTTGGTTTCCTCAGCCAATTTCCTGTCTACTCAGGGGAGATTTTCCTGAAAAGAGCCCACAGCCTTTCTTCTGGTCAGCCATGTTCCTGTTGCTCATCTCAACACTGGGGATATTTGCCCTGCGTGAGTAAAATTTTGTATTAGTCTATAGTTCTACAGATTCTGACCTGAAATACTGACTTTTCATTGTGAAGTGTGCACTGTTTTCACTGATAGAACACTGATTTTGCAGGAGACACCAGAGCTCAGTCAGTGACCCAGCCTGATGTCCATGTCACCGTCTCTGAAGGAGCCCGTCTGGAGCTGAGGTGCAACTATTCCTCTAGTGTAAGTCCTTATCTCTTCTGGTACGTGCAGTACCCCAGCCAAGGACTCCAGCTTCTCCTCAAGTACACAGCAGGGAACACCTTGGTTAAAGGCATCAAAGGATTTGAGGCTGAATTTAAGCAGCGTGAAACCACCTTCCACCTGAGGAAATACCCAGCTCTTGGCAGCGATGCAGCCAAGTACTTCTGTGCTGTGAGTGACACAGTGCCTGGGACCGCAGGGGGAGCTGAGCACAAACCACCCCATGATAGGGGAGTTTTTGGAGACTGATGGCCTCTTCCTGTGGTATTTATTAAAGATCTCTTGTTAGATGATGACAAATAAGGCAAATAGAGCTGAGCAGACCCAGATATTTCTACATAATTCTACAACTCCATTTCTGATAAACCTTATTTAGCAGATTTTTACTTTTTGTAGAAACTACATGACAATAAATAGTATTACAGAATGATGGAGAAGATAGTGTTCTGATCATATAATAATCAGATGCTCCAAGACTTGCCTTGAGGTTGACTGCTTTAAGGGGTTAACTATATAAGTTTTCATTTACTGTTTCATCTCTCAACCAACCCGGAAAACAAAACATGAACTCCACATGTTCTTTCCCTGAAAAGTTTGCCCGATTATTTCTTTTGTCATTCACAGATCATTTTCTTGGAATCCCCTCCACCCCCAGATTTCACTGTGCTGGTCAGAATGTGTCAGAATATTTTCTTTGAGTGTCAATTCCTTTATTTAAGAGAGATTCTGAAAAAATTTAATATATTTACTTAATTAATTAATTTTAGAGGGGAGGCATGAGCAGGAGAGGAACAGAGAGATGGAGAGAGAGAATGCTAAGCAAGCTCCATGCTATCAGTACAGCATCTGACATGGGGCTTGATTTCGCAAAGCATGAGATCATGACCTGAGTTGAAATCAAGAGTTGGACATTCAACCAACTGAGCCACGCAGGCGCTCCTTCTTTTAGTAATTTAAATTCTACAAATCTACACCAGAAATTTGTGGATATAATCTCTTTTGCTGCTTCCAGCTATGGACATGTTTTTTTTCTTCTTGCTTTTCTCCTGTTCTTGTTTGATTTCATAGTTGGAATATTAGAGTTTGATTCTTATACATTAACACATTATAATTAATTATGTAGTAATTTTAACAATGCCAAACTCTGCTAGAAAGTTTGCTAAGAATTGCAATGAATACTAGGTGTCAGTGGACCCAGTATAAACTTACAACCCAGTATAAATCTGTTTTGTTTAGGATGGAAAGAACTGTGTGAGAAGTTTTTATGGTCCTTGTTGCTGGAGACCGAAACTGCACAGGTCATCCCTGATGGCAAGGCCCAGGGAAAAACCTGTGGGAAAAGACTGCAAGGCAGTCAGAAGAACCCCCTGAAGGATTCTTCTTCTCTACTTAGTCTGTACCTTTTACTCTCACTTCTGCTGTTAGTCTGTTCTAGGGTTAATATGAAACCAGAGTCGCCTGAAGTTCCCCCCTTCCTCCAAAATGGAATGTACCTAAATATCATGCCTGTCCCCTCAATCAGATGTTGTCTAATGAATATTGTAGCAATTAGCAAAATTGGAGACAGTCCGGTATGCATAGGGTCTATAAGAGACCTAGAATTCATTTTCCTTGTATGGGTCTAACTGCCAATAAGAATACATATTATGCCATAAGCAGAGACAAAAACAAGACTTACTAGTTTTGAAGGACTTTCTTGGCAAAGTGTTAGAGACACATCTGCCTGCTGACCTCAAGCTGTAAGGCAACTTATGGATTGTTCTGGCCAAAGAATGAGATCGGTAAATGCAGAGACCGAATTCTAGTTGATCCACGTAAAACATTTCCATACGTCATCTATGATAAATGTTGACATTGTTCTTTCTTAGTAAGTGGTTGTGAGAGTCTTTTACCTATAACTGCGGGTACAAGTATTTCCTGTTTTTGCATGCCCACTGAATTTAAACAATTAAAGGGCACTGTGATCTCATGTATTCTGGCAATATGCTTCACTTATCCTTAGATACTCCGCCATTCATAGTAAAGAATATGTAGAACTTTGTTACGACTACCCGGTTAAATTTTATTGGTTTAAGTGGAAATCATGTACTGCGAAATCACTGTTGCCAAGAAAACTTAGAAATGTTAAGTCCCATGACTGTATTCAAAAAATGTAAATTGTTTAAGCATGATTGTTTGGATTTGCTATATGAAAACCCTAAGCTGAAAAATAAATTTGAGCAGTCCACCTGAAGAGGCTGGCTCCGTGTCTTCTTCGCCAACTCCAACCATCACTCTCTGGGTCAACCCTGGCTTGCAGAGGCTGGACCCCTGCACTTGTGTTCTTGAAGCCTTGGAGATAACGAATACTCTGCACAAAGGGGAGAAAGAAAAAGAGGGAGCTTTCTAGCTGCTTCTTGGCTTACTCTATAATGTATAAAAAGATATGTGTCCAGGAACTCTCAAAATACAGAGAGACTAAGTAGATTGTCACCAAGGGTACATGAGGAAATCAATGGTCATTTTTAAGACATGGTGATATGGTTATATGCAATAAATACATTTGAGTGATTGCTGGAAAGGTACAAGGAAAGTAAATGAGGGTGTTGGAGACTTAAACTCTGGAATAAGAAATGTATACCATTTGATGTCATTCTCCATCTGTCCTTCCCTTTTTATTTATGACCATAATCTCTTCTACCTCTGTTTTCAGGAGACTCAGGCGACTCACTGTCATCAGCCCAAAGGGACTGTGGTGGGTGCTTCATGCAGATTAGTGGGAGAAGAAAATTACCAGTTTCTTTTGATTCTGAAGTCAAGCTAAGTTTGAAGAAAAGTAGGATTTATACCAAGGACCCTGAGCAGTTGGGAGATCATACCTCCACCACCCCAAACCTAACTGCCTGAAAAATCAACTCTGTTCTCCTCCTTGCTTTCTGCTTTTATTATTAGTTTGTTATTTATTTGTATGATTACATATGATTTTTCTTATGTTTATTAATTTTTAAGAGACAAAGCATGAGCAGAGGAGGGGCAGAGAGAGAGACACAGAATCTGAAGCAGGCTCCAGGCTCCGAGCCTGACCCAGGGGTCATGAGATCATGACCTGAGCCGAAGTCAGATGCTTAACTGGCTGAGCCATGCAGTCGCCCCAGATTACATATGATTTTTATGAGTTTTCCACAATAAAGAATAAGAATAAACTGGGAATCCTGAATTATTTTATCAATGAAACTAATAATTCTGACATTTCACATAAATAACCAGTCTTACCACATATCTCACTACTTGGAAAGGCTGGCTTAATTGAAATACAGAATATCTTACTGAAGACTGAGTTACAAAGTCAATTGGGAGACACAGCTGACTGAATGGGACTTTGTTAGTAGAAATCAACATGTGCTTCAAATCAGAGAAATTTATGTTTTTATGCATTCCTGTCTTTCACATAGCTAGAATCCATGGGTTCTGGAATCAAAAGGTAGATGTGGGAGTGGTTCCTCTCACTATTATAACCAATAACCCACTATCAGACTTTGATATTCCCATCTTGCCAAGTTTATGCTGTGTAGATTTGGAGACCTTTGTCTTTAGGGAAGAATTCTTCTGCCAAGAAACAAACAAAAAAATCACTGTACTCAGTGCATGATAAGTGCAACTCCTGGATATTTTGAGCTCTTCCGCCATTGAACATAAAGAAAAATATCTATTGGCTGGAGTGGTTGATCCTGATTAAGAGGAAGACATTGGGTTGCTTCTGTACACTAGAAGCAAGGAATACTACTTTTGGGGCCTCTAAGTACTTTCATGCATAATAGAGAAGCTCAACAGAAAACTATAGCCATCCAAACCAAATTGGTTGAGGGCAGGGGAAATACAGAGTAGAGATCAATGAAGGAAGCAATAGATGTCAGTTATAGCCTTGTGACCAATTACAGAAACAAAGTCGTAGTACTTTTAAAAAGTGAAGTACATACAATGAACATGTAATGTTATATTAGTTTTATATGTACAGTATATGGATTCAACAATTCTATACAGAATTCAAAGCTCACCATGTTAAGTGTAATCATAGTATTTTGTGTATTTTGCATTTGCTTGTTATATATATGTGCTTACTTGTATGTGCTAAATCTTTCCTTCTATTCTCTTTCCCATTTTCATTTTATATACAAGTTATTGTAACTTTACACTTTAATTTATCCTTTAGACTTCACTTTATTTACATATCCTGCAGCCTGGGAGTGTCTCCAGGGATCAGTTCACGCAGTCACCCGCACTGGCTCTCTGCAGGGCACTGTTCAGCAGCGCCCAGAGGACAGCGTCTTCCCTTAGCACCCCCATTTTTAGGTGGTCTTGGAAAAGAGTGCTTCTCCCTAGACATGTCCCTGTGAATATCTTTTCCCAGCACCCCAAAAGATGGTTTTCTGGTAAGTTCTCAAGGGTGGATTTCCAGCAAGGTCCACTGTTACAGAACCATCGTGACTTCCCTGTCATCCGGTGAGCCACAAGTGTGTCTTCTTCGAGGTCTGAGTCCCCTTCCTGGAGCAGATGGGAACCTCTCTCTTCATACTGTATCCCAGTTGTGGGAGCAGTGACTACACTTTACATCCGCTATTCCTGTAGAGGTCTCTTGTCCTCTCACTAGCCATTCCCTTTTTACTCCAGTACTCTGATATGGTTAATAATTCTTTACATTAAGCTTTCCCTAATCAATTTGCTGTCCAGTTTCTCTCTTCCGATTGGACCACATTTGTTCATTCACCAGGACACCTGGAGAGCACCCCTGTCTTCCCTTCCCCAACTCTGCCTGAGACATCAAAGCAGATTAAACTTCTTTGTTGTTTAAATGATTATTATACAATAATGAGAAACTATTCCATGATAAAGGATTGTATAAAGAGGAATTTGGAAATATTATATGAATCATGTGAGTTAACAGTGAATTTAATTTCAATTTTTCCCATTTTGTCCATATTTGACCAAAAATTCATTATAGCACAGGAGTGAATTCTAGTCAACTTTTGACAATATTTTATTTTAACTAAACACAAATGATCATTCATTGACTAATGAGAATGTGTCTGGAGATGGTAATTCTTAGCCATACTCTTGCGTTAACTCCCTTATTCCATCCTTATTTCTGATTTTTTCTGTCTTTTAAGTGGGATGGAGAGGCAAGGATAATATTAAAAGAATCTGAAGAAAGAATACTCCATTCACCTGAGCAAGATTTTATGTGTCTCTTTCCAGTCACCCTTCTCCTGATGACAGTGACTATTCTCATTGCTATCACCATAGATTTAACTGTTCTAGAATTTTAAATCAGGGAAATCACTTGGTAGGGACACTTTTGTACCTTGTTTCTTTCATCAAACAAGATTCACCCATGTTCTTGTGTGTTTCAGTCACTTATTACTTCCTACTACTAAGTATCCTATTATATGAGTATATCACAATTTGTTTAGCCATTCAGCTATATTTACCACTTGCTGGACATTAGATCTATTAAAGGTAAAATGTTTAATTTCATCCATAAAAATCCAAGGTACAGACCATCCTCAAATTTTATGTTGTGTTGGTGTAAGAGTAGGATGTGTCTCTAAATATTTTAGCCAAAACACATATCTTACATACCTTTATCTGAAGACCCATGTCTGGGCATCTGGCATGTTCAGCTGGTGGGGTATGCAACTCTTGATCTTGGGGTTGTAAGTTCAAGCCCCATGTTGGATGTAGAGATTACTTTAAAAAAAATGACCCAGGTATAACATTAATTTTTCTATTTAATGTACCACTAATTTGCCAATAAAAAACCAACATATAGTATGCTCTGTTATTTAGTAAAGTTTCACATATTACTCAAGATGTGGATATCTGAATTTTAGTTTCCTGTACCATGGCTTTCTATTATAATGCAAGTTGATCCCACCTCTGAAATTTAAGTTTTCTTGATGAGGCCCATTGCCTCTCCTTAGAGTTGAAGCTTAATTTAAGTGGCACACATATATGATATCTTATTGTCTGTGTTGAAAAAGTTTTAAGGTACACTGCACATCCTAACACTTTGATATACAGTTGACCCTTGAACAGCGTGGGGAAGAAGGGAGTGTATGGCCGCCGACCCCCTGCACAGTATCCCTGACCTTCCCTCTGCCTTGAGTCATTTTCACCTACTACCCTCATGGTTTATTCCTTTACTTTTTTCATAATTTCAGCTCCTAGAGAAAAATGTGCACATATGAATATGGATGAATGCTCAGAAGGGTTTGTTGTGTGTGTTTCATAGATTAAAAAAATCAACATCTTAATATTTCTTCAATAGAGGAAGGGATGTATAAATGGTGGTATATTCATAATATGGAAAACGATGTAACAGAAAGATGAATGTGTGTTAACATAATAAGACCTCCAAGATTTATTATTGAGTTTAATTTCTTTTTTCCTTTTTAAAGAGAGTGTGTGTGTGTCTTAAGCAGACTCTTAGGTCAGCACAGAGTCCTAAACAGGGCTCAATCCTAAGAGCCAAAAACAAGACTCGGATGCTCAACTGACTGAGCCACCCAGACACCCCTATTATTGAGTTTATAAAGCAAGTTATAGAAAGGCATGCACAATATGTATCATTTTGTATTAAAAATGTGTAACAAAACTATACTATATATTTTCTGAGGATTCTTATATTTGGTACAAGTGTGTAAATCTACATACAGTAAAACACCTGGAGTTCTCAGCTCCAAATTGATGAATAATGAAAAGGTAAAAATTGAGAGTCATGGTCATAGGGGATTTTAGTCTTTCTGAAAAGTTTCATTCCTATAGTAATTCATATGATCATGAATCTTCTTTAAAATTTACAAGTAATAAGCTATCATAAAGGTTTATGTTTTCCTCCATGCTTCTCATCAAAAAGGTGGAAAAGAGAGAACAATCGTCTTCTTCATAAACTTTGTCCAATCACCTCACACGTAAGTATTTTTCCCTCCACTGTGATAATAAATCTTTTAGTTCATATTCCTCTTACGATCCTACTCTTTGACTCTTCTCTATTTATGTATAATGTCATCCCTGGTAGACTGTAACCTACTGTCTTATCTCTTTTACATATTCTTAACACCTGGTAAATTGCCTCATTTGTGGTAAAACTTCAGCAAATGTTTATGCATTTATTTTGCACTACGTAGAACAACTCAAATAGCACAAGATGAAAATTGCCATATTTTATGATATTGTCTTTCATGAAATTCCATTTTATTTTATTTATTTATTAAAAATTTTTAAACATTTATTTAATTTTTGAGAAAGAGAGAAACAGAATGTAGGCAAGGGAGAGGCAGAGCAAGAGAGGGAGACACAGAATCTGTAGCAGGCTCCAGGCTCTGAGTTGTCAGTACAGAGCCCCACGTCGGGTTTGAATCCAAGAATCATGAGATCATGACTTGAGCTGAAGTCAGATACATAACCAACTGAGCCACTCACACATCCCATGAAATCCGCTTTTAAAAGCAGGATTTGGGGGAGCCTGGGTGGCTCAATGGGTTAAGCAGTTGACTTTGGCTCAGATCATAATCTCCTGGTTGGTGAGTTGGAGCCCTGCATGGGGCTCTGTGATTGACAGTTCAGAGCCTGGAGTCAGCTTCAAAATCTGTGGTCTTCCTCTCTCTCTGCCCCTTTCTGCTCAAATTTCTGTCTCTCTTTCTCTCTCTCTCTCAAAAATAAATAAACATTAAAAAAAAATAAAAGTAGGATTGGTTCACTTTTAATCCCCATTCAGCCTAAGCAGTTACTTTGTTTCCAGATCATCTGCTTCATGAAGAAGCATGGAAGAATGGGCCTGGGGTCTGTGCCTGCTGAGTCGCTTGGTCTGAAGTGGTCTTTGTTGACTGTTTTGGTCCACTAGGGGGCACTCTAGACTTTAAAAGAAAGATTTTGTTTCCTATAGTAAGAGAGCTGAACAATTATAAAGAACAGAAAACATGTAAGCCAATGAAATTATAGATAGCAAAGGTGGGGGAAATAGGCAAATGTACTTGTGTAAGGTTCATCTCAGGTTTTCAGTTCTGCCATTCCATATAAACTTCAAAAAGCTGTAGGCTATTTATCTATAAACTACTGTGAGGGTGAATCTCTGAGCACGGTCTGGAAATAAGAATACTTCTGGGGACTCATGAAAAAGCTCAACATAAAGCATCCCCTGACGTGTTTTGAATTTTTAAATTGTTTTGGATAAAATCCCCCAAAACCACAGGCCTAAAAATTGTTTTAATACTCCAGATATCCTACCTTTTCATATAACTGGGCTGAGAATGGAGGAACAAGAATGAAGAGAAGAAGAAGAAAGAAAAAAAGAGAACAAAAATCGAAGGAAAGGGAGATGACAGAATTTACTTTGACCAGTGCTGTGTGGCCTGGCCAGAATCATCTGTGTGGGCAAGCAGGGTGTCCACGGGTTACACAGGAGAGGCAGAGAGGTGGAAATTAAATCAGGATAGACAATATGCAGACATCCTATTTATCACCAACCAAATTCTGGTTGGAATTGTTTTCTTTTTCATTTTTGTTAATGTTTATTTATTTATTTATTTTGAGAGAGAGAGAGCACAAACGGAGGGATAGAGACAGGGAGACAGAAAAGAGCAAGCAGGCTCCACACTCCATAAGGAACCCACCTTGGATTTGAACACATGAATCATGAGATCATGACCTGACGGGAAATCAGGAGTCACCCCTGGATTCATTTTCTGTGCAGTTGGTGAATATATGTCTTGATTTCCAGAACTCTCCTCATTTTAAAAAATTATTTTTACTTCTGCAATACAGAATGCATGTTATCAGATAGTTTTTCTTTGTCAGAATTTTCATATCACTAAATTCTCACATTGTCTGTCAATCTAAGCTATTTGGGAAATGGGATCACTCTTCCCTATGATTTTGAAGGTTCTGTGTAACACACTGAGACACTGACTCTTCTAAAATTTCATTCATCTTTCCTCAGTCACTAACCCACAAATTTCTTACATAAAATGTTTTAAGAAAAAGCCCTTATAACCGCACATATTGGAAATGTCCCCCTACCTCCCTGCACTGTTGGCAAGCACAATTTTGGGCAGATTACTGTGCAGTCTCTCTGGGCCACTGTGGGTGGAGTCTCGAGTCTCTGGAGCGACAGGGCTCAGGGGTGATTTGTGCTCAGTGACTCTGGAGGAACGTGGTGACTGTTAATAACACAACTTCTCTGGACCCAAGATTCTACACTCTTCAGAGTAAGGGCGAAGGCACCTCAGCGACCACACAGGGAGTCATGAAGAGACCCCGGGGAGCTCTGCTGGGGCTCCTGTGGGTGCAGGTTTGCTGTGAGTGGGGCATCCCAGACAGGGGCTGGGGAGGTTCCCAGCCCCCAGTGGTGGGGGAGCTGACCCAGAGTTCCTGGGGGTCCACACCCTCAGCGGGTGTTTCTGGGGATATTTTGTGGGTTTGAAAACTGCACCAGTGACTCCGCAGTGAGTTCATTTGTTTTGTCTTTCCAAGCAGGGGTGAGAGGGGTGGAGGTGGAGCAGAGACCTCCAGCCCTGAGCGTCCAGGAGGGAGCCAGTTCTACCCTGAGCTGCAACTTTTCGAGCACAGCCAGCAATGTGCAGTGGTTCCGACAGAATCCTGGGGGCGGCGGCCTCACGCGGCTGTTTTACATCGCGTCAGGGATGCAGCAGGACGGGAGGTTAGCCTGCACACTGAACACGAAGGACCGGCACAGCAGCCTGCACATCAGGGCCTCCAGGCAGGAAGACGCAGCCACCTACCTGTGTGCGGTGGAGGCACAGTGCTGCCTGCCGCCCTGCAGCCTGTCCCCAAACTGCAGCTGGGCTGGTAGCCCAGGCTCCTCCACCAGGAAGCCTTCCTTGCTCAGCAGCATTTGCACAGCGTGCTTGGCACCACCTGGGGCTCTGCAGGCTAAAAGTTGGTGGTGGTAAGCCTTGCCAATAAATTATTACACAACGAAAGTGTGTGTGCGTGTGTTGCACAAAGCACATTGGAGGGATGTTAGTTCTTAAAATGTTTAGAGACTCTGGTTTTGGAAATTGCTGCAACCTTGGAAAGCAAGATCTGTAGGCTTCGAAATAGAAATTTAAGATAAAGATAAGAGCTTCATTGGAAAAGAATACCATTTTCATGTGAAGTTTGAATGTATTCAATAACTGATTATTAACACAGAAGATAATCTGCAAATAATTTTTCTTGTAACTTAATACAGAAGAAGATGCATAGACCAGCATTCTGAGGTATGTACAAATCATGAAGCCAATGTTAGTCTCATAAGCATCGTTCAAAAGTTACAGAAAATGTCAGAGAAAACACTGAAATGCTTCTGTATAAATTTACATTTAAAATTGAATTCAGATGCACATGGGACTGAATGATATGAAGAGTTAAGTAATATATATAAAAATTGTTCCACTAGAAACATCCACTCTAGATTTACTTTATTTTTCAATTAATTTATCAGATGTTTATGCTAATTTTGTCATATCATATGAAATAATCTTTAAGATCTATAATATCAGTTGCAACCACAGAAATATTCTTCTCAAAATGAAAAATTATCAAAAATTTTGTTTGCAGTATTACATTTACCAACAGCAATGACATGATTTCATTTATATTGGTTGAAATGCTCTGTGCTGACTGCCAGCTCAGAGCCTGGAGCCTATTTCAGAGTCTGTGTCTCCCACTCTCTCTGACCCTCCCCTGCTCACGCTGTCTCTCTCTCTCCTAGAAATAAAATAAAAATATTTTAAAAAAGTATTAATTTTGATAACCCAATAATTAACTTGGAGAGAGCAACCTAGACAAAATATTATTATATTACATTACCAAATTATTTTTTTTTAGGGTTTGGTATGTTTAATAACTTGGATATGTTTATGATATTAATTTTTTATATATTAATATACATTTTATTTTTTTAAATGTTTATTTATTTTGAGAGAGAAAAAGGGGTGGGGAGGGGCAGAGACAGAATGAGAATCTGAAGCAAGCTTTATGCCTTGTACGGTGCCCAGCGAGGGTCTTGAGGCCAGCTCCGTCCCTCAACCATGAGATCATGACCTTAGTCCAAATTGAGAATCAGACACTTAATCTACTCAGCCACAGAGGGACCCCAATAAGTAAGAAGATTTTTTAAAAGAGACTTTTACATTTTATTATGTAGTGTATTTTTTTTTCTTTTTGAACATGGGACCACGAATTTTCTGTTTCATTGCGTACCACGTATTATATAGTGAGCTCTGCCTGGGGAGTTTGATACCCAAGTTAAACTGGAATGAGAGAGCTAGAAGCCAGAAAGCAGTCAGGCTGTATGAGAAAGTATTTGTTGCTTTCCATACATGTGAGTAAGCTCATCCACCATGGAGCCCACCCCAGCTCACTGTCTGGGGTGAATCTTATACTCAGTGAGTGAAGTTCCATTTTATTCCATTTTTCTATAGATTGGGATCCTCCTTGATCCATCTTTAGTCTCATAGAGGAAAAGAAAATCCAGAGAGGATCTGACCCTGAAGACTGTCTCTGCTTCTCAAGAGGCTCTAGGGTTGGTTGGGAGCAAACTCAGACCCACTCGATCCCATGTGGTTGTGGAACTGGTCTTGGGTTCCATGATTCAGGCACTTTCTCCCCACACTCACACCAGCCCACACTGCTCACAGCCAGTCCTCAAAAGACTTGCTTTGTTACATAGTATGAAAGAAATGTAGAACCGGAAGAGCCCTTAGAAAGGCGTTAGTCCACCTCATTTTACAAAACAGAGGCTGTATCCAAGAGGACAGTGTGGAACAATTAGGTTGTCAATGAGCCAGGAGAGAAAGAAACTGGGTTTCCTCACTTCTTGGCACACTTGCCCCTGCCTCCTTGCTGCAGGGCCATCCTGCTGGGAAAGAGACGTGTTAATGCAAGCCCAGGCACTGAGGTCTCTGCAGTTGGGGTCTGGGAAAGCCATGGTCCAATCAGTTTGATTGCCTGAATGGAGAGTTGCAATTTATGTTAAATGTCTAACACGTTTGGAAGGAAGGACTCAGGCTGAGCCACTGTGATTCTACCAGCAAACTCACCCACCACTCCCTGGTTTCTGGAGGAGGAAGCCAAAGGTGATGGTGCCGTGTGAACATTTACATGCATTTCAAAGGACGTTCCTAAAAATAGCAGATATATGTGTATCCCAGGTGGACATCTCTTAAAGGCAAGATGTGAATATAAAGCATCACTAATGCATTGTTATGAAATGTAATCACTGCATTGGGAGACAAGGGGGAACATTGTCCTCATGCAGCTGGCTGTCCATGAAGGTATCTGAAAAAGCCTTTCCAGGTTAACACTTTTTGATGATGAGTCAGGCAATAATCAATGAAATTATCATGGGGCTATGAGTTTTGCCCATGGGATGATTATACTTGTGCTACAGCTCATGTATAGGACATTGCTCTAAACAGGGCAGACTCATACTGTAATGATCAGTTCTGGATAACATAACTCAAAAGGGAAAATATTGACTTAAAGTATCCATCTCCAAGAAGAGAGAAATTCACCCAAAGGAGGTTTTGGGAATTCCATCCTATGGAGGATGGATGAGTAAATAAAGAAAGAATCTTAGAATGGAGAAATTTTACATATGTAAAAATACACATTTTATATTTACAGACAAATTTATATGTTGATTTTGATTCTTCATCAGGCTTGTCCCTAAATTTTTAAAGGTGTGAAATATAGATGAGGATTTTTTTTTTAATTCTGCCTAATTCCAGAGAACCAGTGAGTACAAATCTTAGGAAAAGGGCTTCCACTTACGGGAGGTGAGGTTGTCTTGATTGCCCAGGGATCAGTTCTCATGATCAGTAGTCTATTCGTAGTACTCTCCTGGGCAGCCATGGCAATATGTAGGCTTCCCTAAATTCTTTCCTACATTGTAATTGCAGAATATGAAGCTATTAAGATAGATGAGAAAGGATTTTTGGCAGAAAGGGATACGTCTGTAAATCTACAACACTAAAGAACTTTACCAATGTCTTAGGGGAAAGAACACTGTAGGGGAGTTTAGGAGAGAAATGACAGAGTATGGAATCTGAACCAGCAATGGCCAAAGAAGCAGAAATCTATGCTAGGAGAGATGGCTTAACATTTGAGGAAACTCCACTAAGGATTTGAGTCACTTGCTGCATTTAGGACCTGGCATCCCTTTTGATATCAGACAGCTGTAGAATAAATGGCTACATGTTTTAAATATGAAACCAATATATTGTGAGAATTCCTATTCTTTCCCCCAATACTTTGCAGTACATAATCCATGTAGCATTAGGAATAGATATCTGAGAGCATGTCAGATTTCCCATCACAAATAACCAAGTAAAAGTGTTTCTTAATTCATGGACTTTTCCCTCTCTTCCTTTATCTTTGAGCTTTTTATGACAGCTATTTTAATTGACAAAGATTCCACATTTTGACGTCAGGTACTGTCACTTCTCTGGAAATTGCCAGGTCGCAGGCAGGACTAGCTCAGGTGAGCAGAGTCTGGGATAAGAGGCCTTTTAAATATTTATTCTTTGGCTTACATGTTCCTTTTAAGAAGAATTTTTCTCCATAACAGAAAAATGGGGATGGTACTTTTGGCAGAAAGAGAAGGATTTCTGTTTTCTTTGTCTAAGAGAGTGAATCATGATTCCTTCCTCATCTCAGGCATGTACAGCAAGCCCATCATTGAATAGACAGCAATAGGATCTACCTCTGTAGAACTTAATAGTGACTCAGTAGCGTTCAGAGATACCAATCTTAAGTTTTACATTCTTCGTGTGCATTTAGTATCTGATCTAAAATGTAATTTGTTTAACCTATTGCTGCCATTATGTATTTGAGCCCCTCAGAGACGCAGAGTGAAGAACCTTCTGCAGGGAGCTGAGCACAGACGTGACCACCAGAGGGTAGTGCGCCTGAGCTGACGGGGACCAGGCGGAGGCATCTGCATGACTAGGCTCTGGCCCAAGCACAGTCGTCTTCTTATTGGCTGCTGGACACGTGGGAACCCGCTCTGACTGGTGGGGGAAAGAAGGGCTGGCCGGTACTGGAAGTAGCTGTGCGGGCTGGAGGAGGCAGTTCTGAAACTGATGGTCATTGGGAGGAGTCATGAAGGCGTCCCTGGGGACTTTCGTCCTGCTCTTGTGGCTGTCGCTGCACTGTGAGTTGAGCGTTTATGGGGAATTAGTGGATATTCTTCAGACGTCAAGACTGGGTTTTACTCAGTTTCCTCCAGTTAGTGGAGGAAAAGGGAATTCTGCAGCATAATAACCTGGGAACTGTTCTCCTTTCTCTGACCTTCTCTTTGTGCACAGGGCTCAGCCGAGGACAGAAGGTGGAGCAGCATCCTTCCACCCTGAGTGTCCAGGAGGGAAGCAGCTCTGTTATCTCCTGTAGTTACTCAGACAGCGCCTCAGTCTACTTCCCTTGGTATAAGCAAGAACTTGGAAAAGGTCCCCAGCTCATTATAGACATTCGTTCAAATGTGGCCAGAAAAGAAGAGCAAAGACTCACTGTTTTATTGAATAAGACGGCCAAGCATCTGTCCCTGCACATCGCAGCCACCCAGCCTGCAGACTCAGCGGTCTACTTCTGTGCAGCAAGTACACATTGCGTCCCAGACACCTGCCGCCTGTGCTCAAACCTGCCACGGGGCAGCCCCTGTCCTTTGACACAGACCTTCAAGTAGAGCATTTGTGTTATTGTTTGTCTGCAGGTGGAAGCTAATATGTTAGACATAAAACCTAACATAAGGCTCTTGGGCTCAAGATGACCCAGGCAGGGTCAGAACATTTTGTTTAATTCTGCTTATTAGATTCTTGAAGGGAGTTAGTAAGGTTTTATTTTGAAATTCTTGTTTTAAAGCCAGCTTTACATTTGCTGTTCAGACTTCTGTCCTACAAACAACTACTTGGTAAACTATCACATTTCTATGTTGGATTAGCTTTCAACTCTTGTCTTTTCAATAATACAGATGTTATTTTTGGACTATTATAAAACATTAGATGCTAAATATAGAAAACATGTAAAAAGCAAAGTGTGAAATTAATAATTGCATAAATTATTATCAATGTTTGGTTTACTTTCTCCTTAACTTGTAATGTAATGGATTCTGATTGTTCCACTCAATGTTATATCCTGAATTGAGCCTTCTCCTCTAAAATTTGTTTTTTAATAGCTCCATGAGAGATTTTCAAGAATCACAGTTGCATTTAATTTTCTTCGTTGTCTGTCTTTCTGGCAATATTTAACAATTGTTTCTATGTGTTTGGATTAATTTCTTCTTGAGAAAATGTGACCTGGAATTTTCTTGAGAGCTCAGTGATGGTATGCGTTTTATGTGTATTTGAGGGAAATTAAAAACAGAGGTGATTTACTTAATAATTGAGCTGAGAGTTAGACTCTTCTCAACTTTATGTTAGTATATGTTCACATCTACACTCATATAATTTAGAATGGAAAGTTGTATCTTTCAATCATCGTTATAGTACACAAACTTTTTTTACATAATTGATCATCAGTAGATGTTTGTTTATTTATTTAAATTTAAGTTTATTGTCAAGTTGGTTTCCATATAACACCCAGTGCTCATCACAAGTGCCCTCCTCCATGCCCATCACCCATTTCCCCCTCTCCCCCAGTCCTATAAACCCTCAGTTTGTTTTCAGATTTTAAGTGTCTCTTATGATTTGCCTCCATCCCTCTCCTGAACTATACTTTCCCCATTCCCCTCCCCTATGGCCCTCTGTTAAGTTTCTCCTGTTCCACATATGAGTGAAAACATATGGTATCTGTCTTTCTCTGCCTGACTTATTTCACTTAGCATAATACCGTCAAGTTTCATCCATATTGCTACAAAGGACCTGATTTTGTTCTTCCTCATTGCAAGTAATATTCCATTGTATATATTAAACCACATCTTCTTGACCATTTGTCAGATCAGTAGATGTTTATTAATGAAAGAAGGAAAAGGTGAATTCTGCTATATATTTAAATTTTTATTTAAGCTGTGAGGAAAATAAATTTATAAGTTGACTTGTAAAGAGTAAATTCCTAAAGTCTGTATTTGTTTATTGAAGAACATAGTATTTCCTTCAACAAAGCTTCACTGTTTTAAGGTAAAGAAACTTATTCTGAGACATTTAATTTTTATTGTTCCTTAGGATTGAAATCTTTCTTCCTGGGATATGTGGGGAAAATTATCATATATACTCATCATGTACCCACTTATGTCTTAGAGGATTGTAGGAGGCATTTAGATTAACATTTATAGTAGAGATAGCTTGCTTACAGATTTTCCTATCTTAACTTCATGTTTTGACTGAGTTAAGCATTACTTGTGCAGGTGTTGTTTTAAAGGTAATTATTTTGGTGTTGAAGATAGAATCAATATAAGGAAGGAATTTGCATGCAGCATTAATTTCCAAATGTTCCCACCTCTGCTCAAGGGCAGGCTATCTTCAAGGTATCTCATATTCTTCCTAAAGATGGATACAATTGGTGATGTGGTATGGTGGGAATGCCACCTCTTGGCTGAGTTATGGCGGTCAGTTATAAGCTAACTGGTTGGTCCTTGTAGGGAAATTCATTAGGTTAAATTAGGTTTAAAATATCTGAGTAAGAGAGGTCAGTATTGTAGGCCAGTACCTCAGTCAGCTTAAGTTTTTTGATTATTTGGTTGTACTGTCGGCTCCTGTGCAGTAGGAGGAAGGTGACTCTTGATTGGTCCATTTCCTCCAAGCCTGATAAGGAGCCAGAGGGAAGCACAGCTTATATTTTACCTTTTTACTTCTTTTTTTTATGTCTTTATTTTATTTTTGAGAGACAGAGACAGAGAGCGAGCAGAGGAGGGAGAGAGGCAGAGAGAGAAAGAGAGAGAGACAGAATCTGAAGCAGGCTCTAGGCTCTCAGCTGTCAGCACAGAGCCTGACATGGGCCTTGAACCCATGGACTGTGAGATCATGACCTGAGCTGAAGTCAGACACCCAACCAACTGAGCCACCCAGGCCCCCCACCATTTTACTTCTTCTTAAACTGAGTTAGAAGACAGAGAAGGTGCAGTTACTATTAGCTCAACTGCTTTCTCATACTTAGGTGAGAACGTATTCAATAGAAGAAAAGAAAACTTTCCAGCCAGAGTGTCTGGAGTCAGTACCTAGCTTAGATCCAGACTCGTTCAGGTTTTAAACCTTCACATTGGTTGGCGGATTTGTCGCCGCTGTTTCTGCACAATTCATCACAGGCCCAGTGGCTTAAAACAACAGAAATTCTTTCTGCCCTTGTTCTGAAGGCCAGAAGTTGAATTAATTTCACTGGGCTGATAACACGCTGCAAACAAGGCTGTACCCCATCCAGACACTCTAGGGAGACATAAATCCTCGCTTCTTACACCTTTGGTTGCTGCCTGCGTTTTTGGCTGGGGACCATGGCACTCTAACCCCTGCTTCCCTAGTTTCATTGATTTCTCTTTTTGCTGTCTTCAAACCTCCCATTGATTCCTCTTAGAAGTATACACATGACTATATGTAGGCCCACATAATCCAGGATTATCTCCTCATCTGAAAATCCTTAACTTAATCATGTCTTCAAGGTTTTTTTTTTTTTTTTGTCCTCCATTTTCACCTGATATTTATTTATTTATTTATTTATTTATTGTTCATTATTTTGCCTCTCACAATTGGCATGGCTGGTGCTTTCTTTTCTAAACTGAGAAAATAGTATACATTTAGAGAGAGTGCAGTCGTGAAAATAGAAGGCACATCACTCATTTTATTTTCTCAATGTTTTAAATATTCATTAATGAAATTCTATAAAAACTGGACTATTTGGGGGTCCAGTTCTATCTGTGAATATTGAATTTAATACATAGTATAGATTCATCTAATTATTATACAATCATGATGCAGAACGACTTCATTGCTCTACCCAAATCCTTTGTTCTGTAACTTAAAAATTTTTTTTAAATGTTTATTTAATTTTGAAAGAGAGAGGGCAAGGGAGGGGCAGAGAGAGAGAGGTGGATTCTGTGTCTACAGAATCCAAAGCAGGCTCTAGGCTCTGAGCCATCAGCACAGAGCCTGACACAGGGATCAAACCCATGGACCACGAAATCAACACCTAAGCCAAAGTCAGAAGCTTAACTGCCTGAGCCATCCAGACTCCCCGGTTCTATAACTTTCTCATCACACTCTCTCCCATCCATAACTTTTTGTACACCTGTTTGGTGTTTTATATTTTTATCTTATAAGAATGTCATATGAATGGAAGCAGGCAATACATAATATTTTGATAACTCTGTGTCTTAGTGAGAGGAAGCTCACGCCACCAACACCTGTATGATGTCTGCCTCTCCTGCAATCTCAGTGTTTCTTATTCCTGATTTTTAAAAATAACTCATTGTTTCAAGTGTTTAGACTCTTTTAAAGATTTAATTAATATTTTTGGAAAAGAAACACTATAGCCATCAAAATGGAGTGGTTTAGTGGACTGTAGGACCAACTCATTTAATCAGGTTGCGACATGTTCTTTATAGAAGTCTAAAAGTCTAGTTGTATCTACTTTATTCTAAATCTGTCTAACTTTTAAGACAAATTTTATTGATTAAATTTCCCTTTACTTGTACTAATTGGGGTATGTTTATTATTTGGCTTTTCAAGGAGATGACACGAAATAACACATGCAACAATTTTTACCTTTGTGGCACTAACAATGGCTTTGCAGAGCTGAAGGATGGGTATTGTCTCAGGTAAAGGCTATACTCAAACAAGTTATTTTATCAGTAAGAGAACAAAGTCAGGTAATTAAAAAATTGTAACGTTTATCATTAAAATGGGAATATATTTCTAAAAGGACAAAGAAGCAAAAGGATGGAAAGAAGAGCATGAGAATCAGTGGCGGCAAACATCAAAGAGAATTTCCTTCTAAATGGTCTTGGATGGAGTTGTCTGCTTTGTGCAATCATGTTCGTTTCAAGTTTCTTGGGTCGGCACCCACTTCTGTGAATAGTCTGCTTCTGCGGATTCTCTCAAGAACCTCAACTTAAGATTTCTAATATGAGCAACATTTCCCATTCTTGTCAATGAAGGATCCATGAGGTCATAAGAGTGGATAAATGTGTAGCCCAGGACCCATTTCTAGTAGTTTATCTGCTGAACTGGTAATAAAAAGTGCCTAATAAGGTCATTTTACGTATTTCAGTGGCAGTATTTCTCTGGAATTTTGTTCAGAGCTGATTAAATGAAAGGTCAGAGAATAATCTGGGCCTGGGATGAAAGGAAGAGTGTGAAAGATTTATTTATCCAGCTCCGTTTGTGAGGATTGGAATATGTATGGGTTGGGACATCTGAGTTACGTGGGCTGCAGAGGGCAGTTTATGGTGAGACAGTACAGCACTTTGTGAGGGAAGGACGCAGGGCCGCGGGGGCTAAAGCTGCCATGCACCAGGCCACACTAGTTCTGCTACGGTACCCCATTTCAGTTTTCTTTTTCAGTTTATGCATTTATTTTGAGAGAGAAGGACAGAGAGTGAGCGAGCAGGCAGAGAGAGGGAGAGACAGAATCCAAAGTGGACTCAGAGCTGTCAGCACAGAGCCTAATGGGGGACTTGAACTCACAAACTGTGAGATCATGACTTGAGCCAAGATCAAGAGTCAGATGATTAATGACTGAGCCACCCAGGTGCCCTTCATTTCGGTTTTAATATTCCATTTGTTGTTCTACTATAAGAGAAGATTGGGGCTGGGGGTGATAGTAGAGGTGAAGTTTCTGTGTGAGGGGAGGCCTTACCTACCATCCCAGAGAAATTTGCTCTGCTATAGAGAGATTAATAGAAATGGCACAGTGGTAAACACAAAACCCACTTGGTATTTAACTCATTTTGTCATTGCTGTGATTGTCTGATAGGACAGTGCTCAATCCATCTCATAAATACTACGCTATTACCAGTACACACTCATAGCTCATGGTGGGAATGCAATTGTGTAAGTTCCTTATGGAGATACTCAAGTGCTTCCTTGGGACAGAATTCCAGACCATATTCCAGCTTTCCAGATTTCATGAGATTTTGTTGGTTTCAAGACAGGCATGAACAGCCCCGTGTCGGCCATCCTAGGAAGTTTCCCAAGCAGTGTTTGGTTAATGTTGCAACCAATACGTCCCTTCTGTGATGCGTGGTCTCTGCAGATGTTTACAAGTGTTCCTTGGAGATCATTTGGCGCCACCAGGCAGCTGTCCTGGCTTTGGCATATCTTGTTCTTGTGGATCCAACAAATCAAGATTTTTAGTGATTCTTTACAAAATTGAGTCCAAGCTTGCAACATCTAAAATGGAATTACTGAAAATTTCCATGGATTTGTCTTTATGTTCTGGCAGTAGCACTTGCATAAGAACCTGGGTCAGAAAGGTATGTTCAGTATGATGACCCCCTCCTTTCCCCTAACTTCTGCAGTGTCTTTTCTATTGTGAGACTTTGTCT